GTTTTATTGGAGTGCAAAACCCTGCCCACGTTCAGCCCATTCAGTTTCTGTACATTCAAATCAATTGGCATGTCTGTGAATGGCCGGCTATGTTTGCCAATTTTATATGCCGTTCGAAAAACTCTGATAGTGGTGTCTAATTCAGATTTATGCATAGACTGCACTTGATGTTGAATAGTTTCACGTGAAGCAGATGTAAGGATGTCAGCAGCTTTTACATGGGCTTGTGATTCTTTATGTTCTTTGATTTTTTTTCTCAGGCTAGCTTGTTGTTTGCCCTTGTCAACACCGAAATGAGACACTGCACACTCACCCCATTCAGTTGACAGTTTCAGTCCTTGTCCAGTGTGTATTCCCAAATATTTGACATCTCTGCATATCCGACATCCTAGCTTCTTATCTTTAAGAAGGAGCCATGCATTGGTCTTGCAAAAATATTGCACCTGGTCCGTTGTCCAGCAGTCAGGTGCATCGCTTTGCCCGGTGTTGGTGGTGGCAGTTGCGCCAGCAGCAGCTAACGTTAGAGGCTCTGGAGGAGGCGGCGGAGCTAGTGCTAATGCTAATGCACTAGAACTTGGAGCAGGAGGATCAACCAAAGAAAGCTCCCCATCAGACACAATTTCCAACACAGGCACAGCATTCTCTGTATTTTAAGTTTCTTCCGGCGACAACCGCTGTCTTTTTGCACTTTTATTAATCCACGCTAACATTTTAGAAATGCTAATTTGTGACGTGACTTGCTTTCCTTCTCTCGGGGGCGTGCCTGCTCTGTTCTATCACTCTACATAGCCACCCACTGGGTGGGAGTTGCACTGCATAAACACAACACACGTGCATCTAGGTATGTAAATTGTAAAGCATTAAAACATGGTTTTACTAACAGTTTTCAGTATGTTGTTACGTCGGCATTATTATTATTATTATTATTATTATTTTGAAACGTGTATTACTATTAAATCACGGTCAAATAGGTTAATTTTGACATAGTCGTTTCCACCACAGTATTTACATGGAGAAGATAAGCCCCGCCCCCTCTCCAGCACCTTCTGTTTGAATGACAGGAGTAAACAGCTGACAGCCGCTGTGAAACTCCAGCGGTTAGAGCGATGAGAATGTCCGTTCGGCACCTCATGACGCATCTACTGAGTACCGGGCGGCTGTATATATATATATGGATGTATAATAAGCAGTGGCGACTGGTCATTAGGGGCAGGTGGGGCACAGCCCCACCTAGTGTCAGCAGAAAGTATAAAAAGTAATGATTACAAAAAAATGCAAAAGATAAATAAAAAAATATATAAAATATATTTTAAGATCATGTTTATTCATCTGATTCGTCTGTACATTGCTGTTTTAGTCTGTGTTCTTCTAATTAGTGTCTACAGTGTGTGCCTATTGAGCTGTTTTGAGCCATGTGGGACAAAACCCGATCCTGCCCCTCCCTCTCCCTGTTTAAGTCAATGGTGACTGTAAAAACTACACTGCGCATGCTTAGAGTATTGTCCTATTTAATGTGTGTGGCAAAAAAATAATGACCATAGGGGCAGAGTGCTGCCATCCCCACCATACGTCATCTCACATAATTCAGAGCTGATTGGCTGTAAGTACGTGTGCCGCGAAAAGTGTGGTGTGTGAAGAGGAGGAGAGAGAGCTGCAGGAGGCGTCCTAAAACCCGGAAGTAAACTGCGCATGGCTTCCCTCCACAAAAAAGCAATGATATTTCTCCATAGGATTTTAGAAAATAGCTCCAAATAAGATCTGTGGGAAACAAACCTGTTAGATAAATGCACGTTTTGTTCAGCCGGATAATATCCACATGTCTACCCTACTTTTATAATTTTCGAATCATAAATCTATTGATTAGATCAGATTTATGATAGACTTTTGAAACTACAAGAACATAAGGAGGACTTTTACAAAAAAGTAATAGAGATTTTTGTCCAGAAGGATAGGCAAATGGACTTCATCTTCATGTCAAGGTAAGACTGCAATTTGATTGAAAATGGGATCTTACTAAGAGAGAACAATTCAATATTTAAATGATACAATTACATTTTTTGGGTATCCTTTTGTTGAACTGTCCGTTTAAAATTAATTGAAGCATCAGACAAAAAAAGCTTTTGAAAATAATATGATATTTTGATTTAGGTCATATAACCTGAAGAGTCAGAGCCTCACCAGCCATGAACCTCACTGCAGAAGCTTATATATAGACATCTAAGTTTTTTGTGCCCCACCACTTTTGTACATATAAAAACGCCACTGATAATAAGAACGGCGGGAGAGTGTTGAGTACTGGCACGGTGCATGAGTACCGGAGTACCGCCAGCATGCCGGTACTGAGCAAGAAGTGCCGGTACTCCATGGGTCAGAACCAGAAGTGCCGGTACTGCGTACCGGTGAGTACCGGCCCAATTCTAGCACTGGATCAAATCACTTAAACACAAAGTCCATCCTCCTGTCCTTTTGGATGAAGCACTTGCGGGTCATTCAGCTGATCCTTTGCCACTCCAGTTTATCATTGTAGGCTAACCATAGAGAGGCTAACTCAATCTTGAAAATGACTCGGTTAATAATTTCGCAACGATGTCCTCACTATCACTGACATGAGCCATCATGAACGAACTTATGCTAATCATAAATCTATCCATCATAAATCTATCGATTAGATTAGATTTATGATTCGAAAATAATAAAAGTAGGGTAGACATGTGGATATTATCCTGCTGAACAAAACGTGCATTTATCTAACAGGTTCGTTTTCCACAGACCTTATTTCAAGCTATTTTCCAAAATCTTATGGAGAAATCCCAATGCTTTCTGTCGAGGGAATCCGAGCGAAGCTTACTTCCTGGGTTTTAGGATGCGTCACTGCACCTCTTGCATAGACCTCACAGCGGGCGGAACCTGTCATAAAGTCCGCGAAAATAAAGCCCGCCCATTTAGAGGGAAGATATGATTGGTCAATTGTACTGTCATTTGACATTACTCTCTCGTTGAGTTACTATAGTGGGCCCTCTGTGAATGTAGAGAGGGACCAACATCCGTCTTCACATAACTCGCAGAGACGGCATTTAACCCTTCACATTCCAATAGAAACTGAACAGGCAGATTTATTTCTTTGGAAATATTATTTTAAATACAAGTTATTTTGGTAAAACTAATGAAAAATGTAACAACAACAAAATATAAAAAATAATATTTAACATTTTTTTTTTTTTTTTAATGTTTTCAAATATTATTTTTTAGAATATCTTAGGCCCTCACAGAGGGCTGACGGCTCGCCACTGATGAGAGGTGATCAACGTGAATGCTCAGGTTCCACCTTAACACGCAGACACGTTGCTTCACCATGAGCAGAAACCTTTATATATACAGTCTATGGCAGAAACACTGAAACTCTGAAACTCTTGTTAAGTTTCTCCATCGTTGTGTACAAACTGGATAAAACGCGGGCTTTTTGTTGTTGTTCAGGAGTTGATCCTGTCTCTGCCCCCGCCTCGACGTAAGCGTGACGCAGTGACGTGCAGTCAGGGGAGGCAGGGGAGGCAGAGCCTCACCTGTCATGCTCATAGACTGGCCATACTACAATGTAACGGAAAAACAACTAAAGAAAAACTAAATAGTAATAATAATAAAATGTCTCCACTGATCTGTGTTGTAAATGTGATTTATGTTTGATTCCAATCGCTTTTTATAGTCAAAATCAGCAAATTTGCCGAGCTCCGCTACAACTACATGGGAGCGATGAGGAGTGAGGCAGGGACGAGCTCTGTCTCACATAAACCCACAGTAACTGGCTGGAGCGCGGGCACTAATTTAGCACGGGCACTTATTTTGTGAGCGCGCTCAAGCCAGTTACTGTGTGGTAAGGTGAGGCACAGATGAGCTCTGCCTCACCTCAAAATGCGTCACCTCACAGAAATTGGCTGGAAAGCGGGCCCTAAGCGCATGCCTGTTACCATTTCACTGTAGGTCACCAATGTAATGTTTGTAGATCCCTTTATTACATTTATCCTCGCCATCCATAGTCTCTAAATAACTTATTTCACGTATATATGATATTTAGGCTCGCTGTACAACGGCAATGAAAAAAGCACCAGGGGAGGCAGCCATAACCTCTGCCGCACTGAAGGGGGCGCACGTGAGCCCACAGGTCCTTGTTGCTACTGTTATTCTACGCAGAGACGGTATAGACGCGAACAACAAACTAGACTTTTGAAACTAGAGGAAGATAAGGAGGACTTTTACAAAAAAGTAATAGAGATTGTTGTCCAGAAGGATAGCATGGACTTCATCTTCAAGTCAAGGTAAGACCACATTGGTAATGAAAATGGGTTCTTACTAAGAAAGAACAATCCAATATGTAGATTGTGGGTAACCTTTTGTTGAACGGTCTGTTTAAAATGAATCGAAACATCAGACCAAAAAAGCTTTTGAAAATAACAGAATATTTCGATTAAGGTCAGAATATAATATTTGTAAATCTGACTCTAAAAGAGTCAGTGCCTCACCAGCCATGAACCTCACCGCACGTCACTGTATGCGGTTCTTTTGCTCTGCACGGACAATTTTTTGGTGCTTGAAACGAACCGGATTCCGGAGCTAAGAGGCTGCTCCACTGCGGTGTGAACAGGAAAACCCGGTGCTTTTCAAGCTCCAGCTCCGAACTGGCCCTGAAACACCGTTGGTGTGAATGAGGTATAAGAGACAGGGTCAGAGAGGCAGGAAGGGAGTGGAGCCTGATGGGGATACTGGGAACAGAAGGTGAGGGGGTAAGAGCTACCAGGGAGGCCATTATTAAGTATTTGAGTGAAACAGGATTGATTGGAAGAATTTAAAACAACGTAAATACAGTGGTATAATTCCACAAGTGGTGAAAGGATGATATGGTGATACACACTCTTGTACAGTAGGTGGCGGTATGCACCTTAAAGCTGTTTGCAATCCGCCAAAAACCGAGAGAAGAAGAAAAAACCGAGAGAAGAAGAAGAAGAAAAACCTGGATCCATATGGCGTCTCGTCGCTACGGTTCTCTCTCTCTGTGTTCCCGATAAAGTGTGTGTGAGCTCCAGCACTACTGATCCATTATCTGTGTGTCTGGATAAACCTCCGAATAGACTCTGTGCCCTTTTTTTGGAGCGTTTACCTCGGACTATAGGAGCTAGCTTAACATGCTAGCTGGAAACGTTAGCAACACTAGTCAGATTGAGAGTTTGATGGAGAGAGAAACGGTGTGTTTAACGGAGTTTGCAGGAAAAGGTGATCTAGTAAACATGAGTAAAGTCCAAATGCTGCTGTCGTTGAAGAAGCGACTCACTGCTGCTGCTGAAGATATATTTGCTCTGTTTGAAAAAACGATAGCAGAGCACGAGGAGGAGCTGTCTCTTTCCAAAGAGGAGAACGAGAGACTCCAGAAACTACTGGACGCTGTTTTACAGCCTCAGCTTCGGATACACAGAGCAGGTCTGTTCTTACTATTAATTAACACTTTAAAGCAGGGGTTTCCAAACTACGGCCCGCTGGCCTTTTTTAATCGGCCCTCAGCAAAAATGATTATGAAATATGGCCCACAAATTAAACTTGTGCTTTTCTTATATTGTACTTCTTAAATATATATTTACGACTATATTACACAGTAGTATTCATGTGTTAATAAGCCCACTTTTCAAATAAATTCAGTCAATTCATGTTGATAACATTTTCTAATATCTTAGTTGATACAAAAAAAATTACTTATTTACATAACCAGCTTGAAATAGACCCTTCATATTTCATCTTATTATAATCACACTGAGACTTCTGTGTTAAGGGGTGAGCTGCCAACAAGATAAATGAAACCTTATAGAGAGCTGTGATGTAGGCGGTTTTTTTCTTAAAGCATATTCATGTATCGACCCTAATTTACCTACATGTTGCTAACTTATAACTTAACTGATGAGGCGATATACCTCACCTCTATGAGTGGCCCAGCCCTTCGTATATTTTTCTGTATGTGGCCCTCGGTGAAAAAGTTTGGACACCCCTGCTTTAAACTATTTGGTAACACGTTAAAGTCTCTGGTAACACTTCTGACTGTTTATTAGTGCTGGGCAACGATTAAACATTTTAATCAAATTATTTTCTGGGATTAAATGCATTGTTATGCACACAATTCAATAATGAATTCAGAAGTAGTGTTTTGCGCTCTTTTATTTTAAACAAATTAGGTTATTTTTAACAGTAGTGGGCCTATTCCCTTTACAGAGTAGCATTTCAAATATTTCTTGTAAATCTCAAAAAACATTAATGTAATCAAATATAAAACCAAAGCTATTTGCCACTGCCAGGGCATTAACGTTTTAACTAGTTTTTTATATAAAGCCTCCGAGTCCAGTGATAAGGAATGTACATTTTTCTGAGAATATTTGTGTACTTTTAATCAACCTGTTAAGCCCCAAGCCTGTTTTTCAGGCCTCAGGCTCGAAAATGACATTCCCAGAACAAATGACTATATCTTCACTTCTAAAAGGGGTAGATTAATAATCTTTTTTCTCAAAGCAATGATAAACCTGTGAGTTGGATGTAGAAAATAATCAAAATCAGAATCAATATAGATGTTTTTATTTTAAAGTAAATTCAGATTGAACCTCTGTGGTTATGAAGTCCTTTGAGCGCCTTGTCCTGTCCCACCTGAAATCCATCACAGACCCACTCCTGGACCCCCTGCAGTTCGCCTACAGAGCCAACAGGTCTGTGGACGACGCTGTCAACATGGCCCTTCACTTCCTCCTCCAGCACCTGGACACACCAGGAAACTACGCCAGGATCCTGTTTGTGGACTTCAACACCATCATCCCGGCTCTGCTGCAGGACAAGCTCTCCCAGCTGCATGTGCCCGACTCCACCTGCAGGTGGATCACAGACTTCCTGTCTTACAGGAAGCAGCACGTGAGGCTGGGGAAACACGTCTCTGACCCCCGGACCATCAGCACCGGTTCCCCTCAAGGCTGCGTTCTTTCACCTCTGCTCTTCTCTCTGTACACCAACAGCTGCACCTCCAGTCACCAGTCTGTCAAGCTCCTGAAGTTCGCAGACGCCACCACCCTCATCGGACTCATCTCTGGTGGGGGGGGAGTCTGCCTACAGGTCGGAGATGGACCAACTGGTGACTTGGTGTGGGGAAAACCACCTGGAGCTCAACGCCCTAAAAACAGTAGAGATGGTCCTGGACTTCAGGAAGACTGCAGCCCCACCCACCCCCATCACTCTGTGTGACTCTCCAGTAACTGCTGTGGAGTCTTTCCGCTTCCTGGGTACCATCATCGCCCAGGACCTCAAATGGGAGCAAAAAGCCCAGCAGAAGATGTTCTTCCTGAGAACAAAATTAACTTTTTGATGTCTTTTATACATGAATATGTTTGCCCTGTTTCAGAAAATGCAACCCTCTCTATTTTCCTCCTTTCCCACATCTCTAAAAACAAAATGTGGGGGTGCAAACCATGGATATATATAAAGGCTAAATGGCTCAAGGGGGAGTCGCCAGCGTAGCTCACCGGTGGCCATCTTGCCACAGTCAACAACTACTGCTACAGCTCTTGTAAGGTTAGTGATCTTAACTCGCTGAAATCTTGACTGATTTACAAACTGTTTGGTTTATTATAAACGTTATTATCATGGCTATGATACAGGAGACAATGAGACGTGTTGAACAAAAAAAGTCCATGATTATAATTATAAGTATGCAGTATCATGACTACATCTTTGATGTTTATAACAATCCAAACCGTTTGAAAATTGGTTGAAAATTGAGCAAGCTATGGTTATTTCAGAAGTGCACCATAGAAATAATGCTATGAATAAGCGAGCTGCCTGTGGCAAGATGGCCGCCATGTGGCAACGTCGGTCTCCATTGGCCAGCAGCGCGGGTGAGTCATCTAGTGTTTATATATATCTATGGTGCAAGCGAGCAGATCCAGGATTTGGCTCCTATGACGTCATTGATGAAATGTGGCACACGTGACACGTCCCAAACAATCGCACACATAGCAGTGACACTATAATTTACATTTTTTTACTATGTTCAATCTGAATTTACTTTAAAATAAAAAAAATCTATATTGATTCTGACTCTTCTACATCCAACTCACAGGTTTATCATTGCTTTGAGAAAAAAGATTATTAATTTACCCCTTTTTAGAAGGGAAGTTATTGTCATTTGTTCTGGGAATGTCATTTTCGAGCCTGAGACCTGAAAAACAGGCTTGGGGCTTAACAGGTTAATGGTGATTAGATTTTTAAATGCTAACACTTAACAGTTTGTTCTGACTTTGTGCTTCCTGTATTCCTGCAGATGTCCAGCAGCTGGTGGTGGTTAAAGAAGAGCTTCTCCCTGACCAGCAGGAGTGGAGCACCAGTCTGGACCAGGAGGACCCAGAGCCCCCCCCACACATTAAGCAGGAACAGGAGGAACTCAGGATCAGTCAGGAGGGAAAGCAGCTTCAGGAGCTCGAGGAGGCTGATATCACCAAGTCCACTTTCACTCCTGACCCTGTGAAGAGTGAAGATGATGAAGAGAAACCTCAGTCCTCTCAGCCTCATCAAAGACAAACTGAACACATGGAAACAGAAGCTGGTGGAGATGACTGTCGAGGACCAGAACCAGCCAGGAACTCAGATTCAGAGAGCAGTTTACAACCAAAGACTGAGGACGACACTGGAGACTCTTCTAAACCTGACACTGGAGACTCTTCTGAACCTGACACTGAACACAGTGCTGATTGGAAGGAGACCAGAGAACCTGCGTCAGGCTCAAACTCACTGCAAAATATACATGAATCTGTCAGTGATTCACGATGTATTGCTGTAAAGAAACCATTTGGCTGCTCTGTGTGTACGAAATATTTTGTATCGAGTGGAAAATTAGAGCTACACATGAGAATCCACACAGGAGAGAAACCACACAGCTGCTCAGTCTGTAAAAAAGCTTTTTCACAGAGTGGAAGTTTAAAGCTACACATGAGAGTCCACACAGGAGAGAAACCACACAGCTGCTCAGTCTGTAAGAAAGCTTTTTCACAGAGTGGAAGTTTAAAGCTACACATGATAATCCACACAGGAGAGAAACCACACAGCTGCTCAGTCTGTAAGAAAGCTTTTTCACAGAATGTACATTTAAAGGAACACATGATAATCCACACAGGAGAGAAACCACACAGCTGCTCAGTCTGTAAGAAAGCTTTTTCACAGAATATACATTTAAAGGAACACATGACAATCCACACAGGAGTAAAATCACACAGCTGCTCAGTCTGTAAGAAAGCTTTTTCACACAGTGGAAATTTAAAGACACACATGAGAGTCCACACAGGAGAGGAAATATACAGCTGCAATGTTTGTGACAAAACATTTAAATGGCATGGTTATTTCAAAAGGCACAAGTGTGTTGGTCGTCAGTCCTCACAGCTTAATGAAATTCAAACTGAGGATAACAGAGAGGCAGAGCCTCCAGTCAGCAGCTCAGCTGAACACATGGAAACATAAGCTGATGGAGAGGACATTGAATAAGTATTATGCCACTTCACACATGAGAAGAATCTGCCTGACTGTATTAACATTGTCGCACAACATTCATATAAGACTTAAATGAACTCCATCTTTATCAACATAAGTGGACAATATGTTTAATGTTTTCGTCATACTGATTTTCTGATGTATAAGTTAACCACTGACTGTTGATGAACCATTTTATTTTGGATTGAGGGCTCCAAGTTTTCATATTGAGTGGTGCAGTGACGTGTCCTAAAACCCGGAAGTAAGCTGCACATGGGTACCTTCCGGATCCCTCGACAAAATAACAATACAATTTCTCCATAGGATTTTGGAAAATAGCTCGAAATAAGGTCTGTGGTTGACACACATTTAAGAGACGGATCACGTTTTGTTCAGCCGGAAAATATCCACATGTCTACCCTACTTTTATAATTTTTGAATCATAAATCTAATCGATAGATTTATGATTCGAAGAGCTAGAAAGAAAAAAAAACCTGAATAGAGCTAGAAGATAGCCAGGACCAAAACATATGGAGTGTGGACTGGTACTAGAGAGGGGCCAGTTTACCTCCTGGGCCACTGCCAAAGTGCCCTTGAGCAAGGCACCTAATCCCCAACTGCTCACCGGCTCCGGCTAGACTGGCTGCCTCCACTCTGACCTCTCAACTGCATGTGCATGTGTGCATATAACTGTGAGTATTTGTATATGTATGTGCATGTTCTAAAAAGTGTGTACTGTGTGTACTGCATGATCTGTATAAAAACGAATGTGTGTGTATGACAGAGTGGAAACTGAATTTCCCCCTCGGGGGATTAATAAAGGTCCATCTTCTCTTCTCTCTTCTCTAAACATAAGATCTCGAGCATCTAAAGCAATATTGGTAAATTATTTAATATCAGATTATAATATTGATATATGCTGTCTCACTGAAACTTGGTTGAGACATGAAGAATATGTCAGCATAAATGAGGCCACTCCACCCAGCCATATCAATACTCATATTGCTCAAGGTACAGGCCGAGGAGGTTGAGTTGCAGCCATCTTTGACTCAAGTTTACTTATCAATACTAAACCAAAATAAAATTATACCTCCTTTGAAAGTCTCGTTTTTAGTCTTACGCATCCGACCTGGAAAACTTTGCAGCCAAACTTATTTGTTACAGTGTACCGTGCACCAGGTCCTTATTCAGAATTCTTATCAGAATTATCTGAGTTTTTATCAACTTTGGTTCTTAAAACAGATAAAGTAATTATCATAGGTGACATTAATATTCATGTTGACGATGATACAAATAATCTTACTGTTGCATTTAACTCTGTTTTAGATTATGTTGGTTTCCGTCAGAGTGTAAATAAACCAACCCACTGCTATAATCACACTCAACCTTGTTCTACTACTTATGGTATTGAAATTGAGCAACTATTAGTCGAACCGCATAATCCTACTTTATCCGACCATTTCTTAGTAACTTTTGATGTACTAGTGGTGTTTTTATATGTACAAAAGTGGTGGGGCACAACAAACGTAGATATTTATATAAGCTTCTGCAGTGACATGCAGTGAGGTTGAGGCATTAATCTGGTTCACAAAATAAGAGATTTATGGATCTCAACACTCGAAACAGAACTGTATATATTTCAACACTCCAAAAACCATTAGAATATGCTCACAAGCAATAACAAATCATTGATAAACTCCTCTCTCCTGTCTTTATCTTACCTAGTCTGCATTCTTTCTTTTTATTTATGCATATTTTACTAATCACCAACCTTTCAAACTGTGTTTTTGATTTTTTACTGACCTATACCACTCAGTGGAATGATTTATTAACTTATGTTGAACAACTATTTTAAATAGATGGAAATACTTGTTTACATAGATGACCAAACCGTTTGAGACCCACTGAGATAATTTAGACTAAAGTTTACAATCTGATCGCTCAGCAAGTCCTTTAGCTCACTGAGCTGACGTTATCTCAGCCTCTCAGTCCGACAGGAGAGGACTCTCCCTCTCCTTATTGTTGAAACAGCTTCTAATCTCTGTTAGCTCCGAGCTAGCACCAGATGCTAACAACAACCCCCGTTACTCTCTCTGTCGCTCTTTCTGTCTCTCTGTCTCTCTCTCTCTCTCTCTCACACAAAATGTGCTCGTGCTACACATACACAGACGCTCCTCCGTGACGATGACCGCTTGCGTAAACATTTATAATTAACACATTTGAAAAGTGGGGGGGACACAAACAGGATTTTTAAAAGTAGGGGGGGGGCATGTCCCCCCTGTCCCCAGTGGAAATTACGCCCATGCGCAGATCTAAGATCCAGTAGAAATGATAACAAGTAAAAGTCTGCTGCTTATTGTTCTACTAGGCCAAAATAGAGTCAAAGAGTATATGAGAGTGAGAGTGTGTTAATTAATATGTTTGGCAGTTTGGAGTAAGTCTGTAGATTTGTGTGTGTGTGTTTCATGTATAGGCCTCTCACGATAATTAATTTTGTTGGATACATTTTCCCGGAAATTATTGCGATAAACAATAATATTGTCGGCACCGTTGTATGACCATTTTAGACCACTGACATAATGATAATATATAATAATAGTTCAAGTACATATTTTCAAACTGCTAGTCACATCCTCATGTAAATGGAAATGTATCGAGGTCAGAAAAGTTATGGAGTTCATTTTTATTTATCGTACGATAAGTCAATTAATTGCTTATCGCGACAGGCCTATGCACACAATAAAACAGTGGAAACAAACATGTGTTTGACTTTCATTAGTGAATTAAACTGTGTGCCCTTTATAGTCTGTGTCCAATATTGTGTATTTGTATATATTGTATATATATCCTATATATATGCTAAGGTCCCGCTACTGACACGATAGAAGTCATTTAGTGCGCATATGTGTAATTAAACCCATGATATCAAAATCTCACTATCTACTACTTTGATGTTCTCATAAACGAGTCATGTTTATCATAGAACTTTGTTTAATAACCTTAATAGTGATGGAGCAACATTACATCCACATTGCAGTTATCACAACACTACTCGAATCCCTCCTGTAGATCCCTACATCCGGTACGGTGCCTGCAGAAGGACAAAAGAGACCAAATGCGAACATCCCCTTTCTTTAGCTCTTCCTACAGTAGTGAACAAAACTGTTATACTGAGCACATAGACAGAACATACAAAATGCTGCAAATGTACACATTATCAAACTATGTGTGCATTTAGTAACTGATGAACACAGAGGCTATCTCAAAGAATGTGTGTAGCAATTAACTTAGTAATTACTACAGTAACAAAGTAGATTACTATAATAGAATAGCCTACATTTGCACTGTGAAACAAAACTTTAAGTCTCAATATGGCATAACTGTGTGAACTAACAGTTTAGAGTCATTGTTCTCTGAGTGGTATGCTTATGCATACATGACAAAGCTTCAGTCTCTGTATTTGGGATTAGGCTTGATAGCACGGCCTGAGCGTGTCCTGTAGACACTCTCAGGAGTGTCTGACAGCAGTTTAGCTGTGGGAACATCAGCCCTCATGTGTTCACTGTTCAGTGATTCCTGTGTGTGCGTGTTACAATCTGTAAACTCAAGTCCTGTGTCCTGATGATCAGTGTCACTTGTGGAGGTGTGTGACGGGCAGAGTTGGGTGTTACAAAGTAACGTGTTACTGTAATAATATTACTTTTGCCGGTAACGGAGTAGTTTAACGCGTTACTTTTATAATTCAGTAATCACACTACAGTTACTAACATTGCCCCGACACGCGTTACTTCGTT